ACATCAAACTGTATGCAAACTCAGGGCTGATAGCAGCAGGTCTGTGACTCAGCCCCCCCACCAGCCCCCACCCCGGAGCGGGCTGATGTAAATCAGGAGGGGGACTGACTGGCTTGGGATCACAGCCGTGTGGATTTACATAGGCTACGGCAGGTGGGCTGGAGGCACTGCTGCCACCTGTCATCAACCATATCCAACCTGGAGCCGCTGCCAAAGAGATCTCCCATTCCGCCAGATTCACATCACTATTCTGTCCACCCCATTCTGCTGGACCGTCCCCAGGGACAGGGGATAAATAACAAATCTTGAAATTTAACAACGCATCAATAATATTGGAAGGTCTAATATAATAATATTATTATTAGGTCACAGGCAATTGCTACCCTGTGTTGAAAGACAACTCGGAGGGAACCTCATAGAGATGTAAATGGGATTGAAAAAGTAAACCCAGGTCATCATTTAGGATACAACGACAGCAGAACAAGAGGACACTCAACAGCAGAACAGGAGGGCAATTTCAGGGATGTTTCTTTACCCAGAGGGTCATCAGGAACAGGGTTACCAGGGAGTGTGGTTGAGGCCAGGACACTGGGACTTGTTTAAAAAGCAGCTTGATGCTGTGATGGGTGGGTGTTCTGGAGGGTTGAGATCAAATGTGCCAAAGGGTCTTCTTCGTCCAGACCGATCGTGTGACCTTGTTTGCAGGCGAACGCTGTCATACCACTTCAACCAAGCCTTCGGTCACCTAACCTCTCTTTCCAGCTTTTCTTTCCAGCTTGGCCGTAAAACACACTGCTGGTAAGTGCTCCAAGATACTCTCCACGTGAATGGTGTTATAAAAACCAAGCTCCTTCTTGTTTCAGGGAAGCAAGAAGAGTCCTGTAGCTCAGTGATTAGAGCACTCACTTTGCAAGCGAGAGACCTGAGTTCAATTCCCGGCAGAGGGTGAAACCTTGGGCAAGTTTCCTTACTCCACACAGAGCCTAATAATAATCCCTCCAAAACAAAAAATAATAATAAATTGGTCATTTTCAATCCACGACTGTTTGTGGGACATTGCTGTGCGCAATTGGCTGCCGCGTTCGCCCACAAATATACAGTCAATTCACTTTACAGTGTGTTCTGTGAAGCGCTTTGGGACGTCCTCCCGACGTGAAAAGCGCTATATCAAATGCAAGGATTATTATTATTATTAAAGCAAGTCACCAGTTAGCCAGACTTCGGCCAGTTGTGCTAAACCTAATGAAAGCAGCTTGCCAGCCCCAGGAAACCAGCAAATAAACATTAGCAAACGGAAGGCATCACCAGCATGAATCAGTGCACAGCAACTGACAAAAATAATGTAAATGAATGAGCTTTACACACATGTAATGTATATATAACACTGACATCGGGGAGGGGGGGTGTCCCCAGGCGCTTGGCACCCAAACTGTGGAGTGGAGCGGGGCAGGAGCAGGGGGTGGGGGACAGGAAGGTTTGAGGTTTTGTTTTGGACGGACAGGTGTCTTGACACATGTGGAACCCATCACCAGGCTTCAGAGTATCCAAACCATCTACACGTGGAAATCCCAGAGAGAAACATGCCTCTGTTTACAGAGCAGTAAGTAGGAACATGGTTGTCAGTCGATTGGCAGATTATTTTCTTGGGATAATAGTTCCTTCACTGAATCCACGACTGTTTGTGGGACACGGCTGTACTCAATTGGCTACCGCGTTTTGCCCAAAAAATGCAGTCAATTTCACTTTACAGAATATTCTGTGAAGTGCTTTCAGACGTCTCAACGATGTGATAAGGCGCTATATCAAATGCAAGGATTATTATTATTACTTTGGATTCTGTCCATCATTCCCCAGTTTGGAAAGAAACTGAAAAGGATGCTAACTCTGGATAAATAAACACCCAGAGCGTGCAGCTGAGATCAAAACCTTGTGCTTCGAGGCACTGGAGGGTGTTAACATGTTATCCCGATTTGTAATTTGACACAAATTCCTTTCAACTGAGTTTTCTCGGTGAACAGCCACAGTTAGGCTGGGCGAGCTCCTTTTATCCTAAAGCCTCTGCTGTGACTGTGAAAGTGTCAGACAATAATAATCTGTACACCTCATTCCCTCTTGAAGTCCACATTGGCCTCTGCCTCTATCACCTCACTTGGCAAGACATCCCACATCCCAACAACTCTGAGTGATACAATTCCTCCTAATCTTTTCCTCTTCCCCTGACTATGATGTAACTCTCCGACCAGTGGGAACAACTATTTATCTGATTCAAGAGAATCCCACAGTCAAAGAAGTTGGATTCCAAGCAAATGAGATGCGATGGGAGGACACCACAGGCTTTTAGTTAGAATTAAAGAACAAAGCTATCAGATGAGACATTAAACGGAGATCCCGTCTGCCTGTTCAGGTGGATGTTAAAGATCCCGCGGCGCTATTCGAAAAGAGAAGAGTTTCTCTCTCCCGATGTCACGGTCAACAATACACCCCCCACCCCCATTACAATTGATCATTCACTCCATGGATTGTGGGACAGTGCTGTGTATAAACATGGCTTCCGCATTTACCTACAAAATATACAGTCACTACATTTTACAGATAAACTATTTCCTCTGCTAGGGGAAAGCAGAACAACAGCTATAATCTTAAAATTAGAGCCAGGCCATTTAGGAGTGAAATCAGGGGCAGTTTTTCACCCAAAGAGTAGTGGAAATCTGGAACTCTCTCCCCCAAAAGACTGTGGATCCTGGATCCATTCACATCTTCAAGACGGAGGTGGATAGATATTTGTTCAATAATAATAATCCTTGCATTTGATATAGCGCTTTTCACGTCGGGAGGACGTCCCAAAGCGCTTCACAGAACACACTGTAAAGTGAATTGACTATATTTGTGGGCGAACGCGGCAGCCAATTGCGCACAGCAATGTCCCACAAACAGTCGTAGATTGAAAATGACCAATTTATTATTGTTTTTTTTTGGTTTTGGAGGGATTATTATTAGGCTCTGTGTGGAGTAAGGAAACTTGCCCAAGGTTTCGCCCTCTGCCTGGAATTGAACTCAGGTCTCTCACTTGCAAAGCGAGTGCTCTAACCACTGAGCTACAGGACTCCACGAGTTTGGTGAGGGTATTAAGGGATACAGGGCAAAGGCGGGTAATTGCAGTTGAGGTATAGATCAGCCATGATTGTATAGAATGGCAGAGCAGGCTCGAGGGGCTGAATGGCTCAGTTCCTATACTCAGTAATATCCCGCGAAGCACTTCAGGAAAGGCAAATGCAAGGATTTATTATTACAAATTTGAGGTGTGTTATTGAGTAGGAAAGCTACGCCTGAGAGAATGTAGATGTAGATCCACACACGCTCCGACCACTTGCATCAAAACCTGAGGGCTTGTTCGCTTGTTTAAAAACTGATTCTTTTTACGTCACATTAAATACTGTAGAATTACATTTACTTAACTCTCTTTCGCCCCCTCCCCCCTCCCCTCCCCGTGCCTGTTTTGAAGGATTCAGCATTTTGAGATTATACATGTTCCTTCGCCATTAACAATCACTAATCCCAATAACCTTTCTCCTTCTTACACAGCGACTTTAATGTGCAAGTACTACTGTAGTGATCTGTCTCAGTCAGTGCCTCTCTTTTACACCAGTGTCGCTCACACCCACACACACCCCTCTCTCTCTCTCTCTGAAAACCCAAGAACAGAACTGAAACCATTTAGAAGAGAATTTTGGGAGAATTCAACCACAGTTTATAATGCGAAACAGGATTCTTTCGCTCGTGATAGGTTGTTAGTGCAGAGACCCATATGCATTCTACCAGAACAGATACAGTATCTTCAGTGGGGAAGCGAGTACCAGCACAGACACGATGATTCCTGGTTTGAGCTGAAACCACTTGGATTCCAGGGAAGTACACGTTCAGTGTTTGGATACCATAGTGATTATAGCACCGCAACCACACAGGGCTCCTATTCCACCACACAGCGAGATTGAAGCCTTGGTTGTAACATTACCCAATACGGAGATACGATTACAGCCTTAACATGGACGTTGCTCTATTGTTTGGAGCTGATACTGAGACTGGAGGAACTGGGGCTTTTTCCACTGGAACAAACAGGTTGAGGGGTGACCTGATCGATGTCTTTAAAATTACAAGGGATTTTGATGGTCAATAGAGACATCAATTCCACTGTCAGTGAGTCAGTCACAAGAGGGCATCAATAGCAAACAAGCAAAGGGAGTGTTTTCACACAGAGTGTTTAGGGTATGCAATGTCCTGTTGGGAGTGGTGGTCGAGACAATAACAACAAATTACATTGTATAGGGCTTTCACGTCAGGATGACGTCCCAAGGCGCTGGACAGTCAGGGATCCGCACCCGAGCTGGTGGTTGGGATCAGGAGAGGCGGAGGGCGGGGAGGGTAGGTGTAGGAGGGTGACCGAAGGCACAATCGAAGAGGAGGGTCTTGAGATGGGTCTTGAAGGAGGCAAGGGAGGGGCGAGGCGGAGTGACTGTGGGATGGAGTTCCAGAGGAAGGGGGCAGAAAGGCTGAAAGCCCGCCCACCAATGGTGGGGTGGACAAGGCGGAGGACGTGACGCAGGCTGGAATTTAGATTAGCTTTTAAAGGGTAACTAGATAGATATGTAGAAAAGTAGAAAGCATAGGGGTATGGGGGAAAGGCAGGTAAACTGGAACTCCCTGCCTCAATCCTTCCGCCTCACCACCCCCCTTTTGCCCGTCTTCAGATCGCGCCTGAACACCTTCCTCTTCGACCGTGCTTATGGTCACCTCCCCTCACTCCCTGGCTCGGAGTCAAACTCTGTCTCTGTTATGTGAAGAGAACTATATAAAGGCAAGTTGTAATCTGTGTTGTTAAGCTTGAGGGAAAAAGATTGCACATAGTTGATACATAAGTGATAACGAAGCCTCTTCCAGGGTCAATGCACTGTAAAACAATTACTAAGGCACCCAAACATCCAGCAGACAGATTACTGATTTACCTGGAATCTCCCTTACTGAGGCTGGGATTGGTGGGTCTCAGGATTGTCTGATTGTCTTCAACATCTACAATGCACTTAGTGTTCAAATCAACCTCTGCAGAGAGAGAGAGAGAGAGAGAGAATGTGTTAACAAAAATCATAGGGCCATCACTGCATTCCTGTAGCGCAGTGGTTAGTGAGCGTGCTCACCTCGCGAGCAGCAAGTAGGATTTCCGGCAGGTGAAACCTTAGGCAAGTTTCCTTACTGCCTTTCCTTACCACACGCCTCTGTTTAGCCAGCGGTAAGTAGGAACCCAGTTGTTAGACGACTGGCGGATCACTTTCCGGGGTAATAATACCTCCCCCCATAAAAAAATTGGTTACTCAATCCACGACTGTTTGTGGGACACTGCTGTGTGTAATCGGCTGTCACGTTTTGCCCACAAAATATACTTTACGGTATATTCTGGGAAGCGCTTTGAGACGTCTCAATGACAGGGAAAGGCGTTATGTCAAATACAAGGGTTATTATTGTTATTATCGTGTCACAGTGATTAGAGTTTGCAGATTATTCACTAAGTTTCCTCCTACATTTGTCCCCAGTTCTGACGAAAGGTCAACAACCTAATACCTTAACTCACTTTCCTCTCCATAGATGCTGCCTGACCTGCTGAGTGTTCCCAGTGACTTCTGTTTTTATTTCAGATTGTTAGCATCTGCAGTATTTTGCCACCTGCAGTATACATACTGTAAAGTAGTTTGTATTTTGTCAGGAAACGTGGCAGGCATTATTTATTATATATAATAAATATATAGTGATGTAATATTATTCACTACAGTATCATCATAATTGCTATTATTTGGGGTTGTTATATTATTATTTGGGGTTATTATATTATTAAGATTATTTAGGTTATTATATATTGTTATTATTTTAGGCTCTCGTGTGGAGCACAGTCTGGAAGCGAACTGGACTACAGCCTTCTGTCTCCATGTCAGAGAAAACAGCTTGTTCTGCTCACATCAGGAAGGGAGAGAGATCAGAAAGTTTCACTTGTAGAGCAATTTGCAACGTTGAAGTCTCGCTTCCTGGTTTTGGAAGGAACACAATTTGCTGAGGTCATCGAACGGCGTTCGGAACAATAGCCAACATGAAGCCAGGCAACCCTCCTGGGCACTGCTCGCACAGAGAAACGTAATGCTCCAACACAGCCGGACCGCAAACAGCTTTCCATCCACGTACACAAAGCTGCACAGCCTGGAAAGGGTCGGGTCCACTGTCCCCGGACTTTGTGTAGCGCTGCTTCACACGGTGCGAATGGGGTGGGGCGCCCACACAGCTACTTCCCCAAAAATCCCATGGAAATCTACAGCAGAGAAGACAGCCATTGTCTGAAAGCCGGTCTGTGGCCGGCAAGATCCCGAACACTTCTCGTGCGTTTAGAAAAAAAGGCAGCAGGGACTCGATGACTCAGAAGTCACTTATTTTAGGGGAAGCTGGCTTTTGCCCACACCCACACACACACAAATGGTGGAGCAGAGGAGATGAGGGGGGTGAGGAAAGCCCGAGCCAGGTTTACGTTCAACGCGACCCACCAATAAGCGAGCGGATTAAATAGTGGGTAAATAAGCAGCTCAAGAGAAACACGAGAAGTCATAGAACTTCTGAAGATAGGAGGAAGGGAAATCTGTATTTATCTCACACGGCGCCTTATCATGTTGTCAAACTGTCTCAAAGGGATTTACCGTTAAGTGTAGTGACTGCGCATTTTATAGACGATTAGCGCACAGCAATATCACAGCACATTCAAGTGTCAATTAGACACCAGGATAGGAAGGTGGGAGGAGGGGGAGAAAGGGCAGCAGAAGTAATAATAATCCTCGCATTTAGCACATACAGCGCCTTTCACTTTGAGAGGTCTTCTCAAAGAGCTTACAGCAATGGTCCCCAACCAGTCGATCGCAGCGGGGGCAGCGCTCTCGCACATGTTCAGAGACTACAAGAGGAAGGAGCGATAGAACTGCATTGTCATTGAGTCCATCTGAGAACAAAACCAGAAGCACAAAGTATTCCATGCATCTGGAAATAACAATATAAACTTAAAACTGTGAGAGATATTGCTCCTTCCGCTTGTGGAGTCCTGTAACCTACTGGTTCGGACCTGGGCTGGATTCCCAGGCGGGGCCAAAGCTAAAACAAGTTTCCTTACTCCACACACACGCCTCTGTTTGCCGAGCAATAAGTAGCAACCTGGTTGTTAGTTGATTAGTGGATCACTTTCCAGGTGTAATAACCCCTCCAAAAATATATATATATCTATAAAAATAATAATAATTTGCTCACTCAATCCACGACTCTTTATGGGACACTGCTGTGCGCAATTGGATGCCGTGTTTTGCCCACAAAATTTAGTCGATTCACTTTACAGTATATTCTGTGAAGCGCTTTGAACGTCTGTGATAAGGTGCTAAGATCAAATGCAATGATTATTATTATTATTATTATTATTATCATCAGAGCATGTGCGAGAAGTCACCTAGCGATGATTGACCAGTAGACGTCCCTGGCTTACAGTATTTACTGTGACGTGTAGTGACTGTGTATTTGTAGGCGGTGGGACAAAGACATGGAGACATACGAAAGTTAGAACAAGGATCGCAAAGTCAATCTGCTGGGGAACAGGGAGCCGGTGGTGCCTGGAGAAGGAAGAAAGGAGACAGAGAGAAACGAAGATGGTGATCAACAACAGGCAAACGGAAGGATATTATCCATCAGCAAAGAAGGAAAGGAATTTGGGTGTGATCACTGAGCAGACCTGAATGCATCTATTCAATGTGAAGTGGTTGCCAAGCAAGCTGATTAGATGGGCGGAAACACCTCGAGTACAAGTCAGAACACACTGCGGAATCGGCAGCCTGGAGATCACTGGCGATGGCAAGTGAGGAATGTGTCAGCACGAGGATGATTATTCATGAGCTTTGCGCCGTCGGCAAAATTGGGCCACTGCGCTCGTGGACTCCGAGTCACCTCCGGAGCTGTGTCCAGTGAAACTGTACGACCTCCATCTGTCCTTTCTCTCCCCCACGTCCCGGGTCCCACTGCGACCTCACACCTAAGGCCACTCTCATCCCACCACCACCACCACCACAACAACAACAACAACCTGGATTTATATAGCGCCCTCCACACCTCAGAGCGCTTTACAGTCACGGATCCCGGGGCCGAGCCACGGGGAGGGGGAGGGGGAGGGGGAGAAGGCGGGGGGTGGCGGGCGGGGGGTGGGGGGTCCAAAGGCTCAGTCGAAAAGAAAGGTCTTCAGCAGAGACCCGAAAATGGGAAGGGAGGGAACGAGGCGAAGGGAGTGAGGAAGGCAGTCCCAGAGCCTCGGGGCGTAGCGGCTGAAGGCGCGGCCGCCGAGGTGGGGAGCGGAGTTTTGAATGATTTGGCTTTTATGGATGGCGGTGGTGAGGAGGGCGTTAGGGTAGTGCAGCCGGGAGGTGACAAAGGCCTGGACCAGGGTTTCAGCGGCTTTTGGGGAGCGGTATTGGCGGAGGAGGGCGATGTGTCAGATGTGGAAGCAAGTGGTGCTGGTGAGGGACCGGATGTGGGGGAGGAAGGATAATTGCGGGTTGAACCTGATGCCTGGGTTGCGTACGGGTTCAGAGAGTTTTAGGGGGAGGTCGCGAAGGTGGAGAAGGTGAGAACCGTGAGATTTTAGACATTGACGAGAGCCGAAGAATATGGCTTCCATCTTGTCAACGTGCAGCTGAAGGAAGTTTGCGCTCATCCAACCCCTGAGGTCTGACAGAACATCAGGGGACTGGGGCGGCACAAAGAGAGGTGGAAAAATAGAGTTGGGTGTCATCTGCATATATGTGGAAATGTACCCCATGTCTGTGGATGACATCCCCAAGAGGGAGCACAGAGATCAGAAAGAGGAGGGGCCAAGGATGGATCCTTGGGGTACCCGCAGGTGACCGGGTGAGAGCGGGAGGAGAAGCCGTTTTGCAGATGTACTGCTGGCGGTTTGTGAGGTAGGACTCGAACCAGGCGAGTGCGGTCCCACTGAGGTGGATGATGGAGGAAAGGCGGTGGAGGAGGATGGCGTGATCGACTGTGTCGAATGCGACGGAGAGGTCCAGGAGGACAAGGAGGCAGAGGGAGCCCCGGTCACAGATAGAGAGGATGTCGTTTGTGACGTTCACAAGCGCAGTCTCTGTACTGTGGGCGGAAACTGGACTGGAGGGGTTCGAGGAGGGAGTGGGAGGAGAGGTGTGCGCGGAGTTGATTGGCCACAACGCATTCTAGAGCTTTTGAGAGGAAGGGCAGGTTTGAAATAGGGCGTTAATGAGGGATCTGGGGAGGGGTTTTTCAGGAGAGGGGGTAATGACAGCAGTTTTGAGGGGGCAGGGACTGATATGGAGGAGAGGGACTGGTTGATGATGTCAGCCAGTAGTGGGCAGAGGAGGGGGAGCTGGGTGACCAGTAAATTGGTGGGGAGGGGGTCAAGGCAGCAGGTGGTGGGTTTCATGGAGGTGATGTTGGGTCAGAGGGAGGAGGGAGAGATTGGGATGAAGGAATGTAGGATGGGAGTGGTGGTAGGAGCAGATGATGAGGAAGGTGAGGGGGACAGGGAGGGTGTGGTAGTGGGTGATAAGGGGCAGGTGGATGAGGCTGCCTGGCGGATATTAAGTATTTTAAATGAAAGGACGTCCATGACCTTCTCGCACTTGGCATTTGGTATGAAGATTGAGGAGGCCTGAGGGGGGCACAGAGGAGGTAGTGGATGGTGGAATAAAGGATTTTAGGGTTGATGTTGGAGAAGGCCGTTCTTGCGCGTGTCCAGGTATTTATCACATCTAGGCTCGACTATGTCAACTCTCTCCTTGTTGGCATTTCCTACACTTCCCTCCACAAGCTGCATATCATCCAGAACTGCAGCTCATCATGTCCTTTCCCACACCAGGCTCTGGGAACCCATCACCCCACCCTCACCCAGCTCCACTGGCTCCCCAGACCTCAGAGGATACTGTTCGAAATCCTCGTCCTCGCCTTCAAAGCCTTCCACAGCCTTGGTCCTTCCTAATGTGACCTGCTAACCCCTCATGAGCCTG